AAAGGTGAAAAGATAGCTGCAAACTTGTACATGCTGAAGGGAGAGACTTTGGTAGAAGTAGAAGCCTCTGTTGCCTCATGTAGTTCAGATTCGACAATGCTATGGCATCAGAAACTTGGACACATGTCAGAACAAGGAATGAAAGTCCTTGTGGAGAAAAAGCTACTTCCAGGCTTAACAAGGTATCACTTACCTTGTGTGAGCATTGCATAACAAGTAAGCAGCACCGGTTGAAATTCAATGCGTCAAATTCTAGAGGCAAAAGTGTTCTAGAATTGGTTCACTTTGACGTATGGCAAGCACCGGTTACATCCCTAGGTGGAGCAAAATACTTTGTCTCATTTATTGATGACTACTTTAGGAGATGTCAGATGTGCCCTATTAAGAAGAAGTCAGATGTGTTTTCAACTTTCAAAAACTTCAAAGCGCGGGTGGAACTTGATTCTGGAAATAAGATCAAGTGTTTCAGAACAGATAATGGAGGAGAATACACAAGCGAAGAATTTGATGACTTTTGCAGGAAATAAGGCATCAAAAGACAGTTCACAGTGGCGAACAATCCTCAATAAAATGGAGTGGCAGAGCGGATGAACAGAACCTTGTTAGAAAGAACAAGAGCAATATTGAGGGATGCAGGCCTAGAAAAATCATTATGGGCAGAAGCAGTCAATACCGCTTGTTATTTGGTGGATCGAGCTCCATCAACTGCAATAGAGCTGAAGACACCAATGGAGATGTGGACTGGTAAACCAGCTGATTATTTAAACCTCCATGTATTTGGAAGTATTGTGTACGTGATGTACAACTCCCAAGAAATTTCAAAGCTAGATCCAAAATCCAGGAAATGCAAATTCTTTGGGTATGCTGATGATGTAAAGGGGTATCGTTCGTGGGATCTCACTGCCCGCAAAGTGATCATCAGCAGGGATGTTATCTTTGTAGAAGATAAACTACAAAGAAAAGAAGATGATGATAGCGCTAAAAAGTCAGAGACTACACAAATACATGTGAAAAATGAGGTTGAACAAGGAGATTATTCTGAAGTAGAACCAGCATATGATGAATAAGAACCAGAGAGTTCTGAAGCTCCAACAACTCATCAATCAGATTGTGTGAGAAGACGTCCCAATTGGTACTCAGATTATGTTATAGAAGGCAATATTGCATACTGCCTTTTAACAGAGGACGGTGAGCCATCAACATACCAGGAGGCAATAAACAACTCAGATGTTTCACTGTGGATGATGGAGATGCAAGAGGAAATTGAAGCTCTTCATAAAAATAATACATGGGACCTTGTGCCACTACCACAAGGAATGAATCCAATTGGTAACAAATGGGTCTTCAAAATCAAGCGAAATGGTGACGATCAAGTTGAGAGGTATCGTGCAAGACTGGTGGTCAAAAGATATGCTCAAAAAGAATGTGTTGATTTCAATGAAATATTTTCTCCTGTGGTTCGACTAACAACAGTTCGAGTAGTTTTGGCAATGTGTGCTACATTGAACTTACATCTAGAGTAGCTAGATGTTAAAACAGCTTTTTTTCATGGAAATCTTGAAGAAGAGATTTATATGCTCCAGCCTGAAGGTTTTAAAGAAAAAGAAAAAAAGAAATTGGTTTGCAGGTTGAATAAATCTCTGTACGGTCTAAAGCAGGCGCCGAGGTGTTGGTATAAGAGATTTGATTCCTTCATTATGTGCCTTTGATACAACAGACTTAATGCAAACCCTTGTGCTTATTTCAAGAGGTCTGGTGATAACGATTTTGTTATATTACTGTTATATGTGGATGACATGTTGGTTGTAGGACCCAACAAAGATCATATTGAAGAATTGAAGGCACAACTGGCTAGGGAATTTGAAATGAAGGACTTGAGATCAGCAAACAAGATTCTAGGGATGCAAATTCACAGAGACAGAAGTAATAGGAAGATTTGGCTTTCACAAAAGAATTACTTGAAGAAGATCTTGTCACGATTCAGCATGCAAGATTGTAAGCCAATTTCTATCCCTCTTCCTATTAACTTCAAATTTTCCTACAGTATGAGTCCTAGCAGTGAAGAAGAGAGGATGGAGATGTCTCGAGTACTGTATGCATCGACAGTGGGAAGTTTAATGTTCACTATGATATGCACAAGACCAGACATTGCACAAGCAGTGGGAGTGGTTAGTCGGTACATGGCGAATCCAGGCAAAGAGCATTGGAATACAGTAAAGAGGATCCTGAGATACATTAAAGGGACCTCAAATGTTGCATTATGTTACGGATGATCAAACTTACTAATAAATGGGTATGTAGATTCTGACTATGCAGGGGATTTGGATAAAAGCAAATCTACTACAAGATATGTGTTCAAAATTGCTGGTGGAGCTGTAAGCTGGGTTTCAAAATTGCAGTCAGTTGTGGCTACGTCCACAACAGAAGCAGAATATGTAGCAGCTACACAAGCCAATAAAGAAGCAATTTGGTTGAAGATGCTATTGGAGGAGCTTGGGCACAATCAAGAGTATGTCTCTATGTTTTGTGATAGTCAAAGTGTCTTGCATCTAGCAAGGAATCCAACATTTCATTCAAGGAAAAAGCACATACGAGTTCAATACCATTTCATTCATGAAAAGGTGGAAGAAGGGACGGTAGATATGCAGAAGATCCACACTAAAGACAATATAGCAGATTTTCATGACGAAGGCGATCAATACCGATAAATTTACCTGGTGTCGATCCTCCTGTGGTCTGTCAGAGACGTAAGCAACATAAAGGTATAAGGTAGAAAGAATGGTGTGAAGATATGATTATTACAATCAAATCTTCAAGTGGAAGATTGTTGAAAAGTCAACATAGAAGTGGCCAAATTGATGGCAAATTTCGGTGGAAAGTGTGCACAATAAATGCACCAAAATTAGCTGGAAATTTGGCATCGAAAGTAGCTGGAAAATGTTGAATTTTGGACAATGGTAGAATCATATTTTTAGCCATTGTAATTTAGGGTATTTACAAATTAGTCCTTAAGTTTCAACTATAAATACCCTAGCTCATTTAGCTTCAAAATCATCCCAAAGCATTCTAGCTTTCTTCCCAATACTAGAGAGAATTTAGAGAGTTTCTTGAGAGTTGTTTTCTCCTTTTTATCAAGAGAGAATTATCATTGTTTTCTCCTTGGTAGATCGAGAGAAGTTGTAATTCCTATTTTCTCATAGTGAAATTCTTCTACCGTTGCCCGTGGTTTTTACCCTATATTATTTAGGGGTTTTTCACGTAAATTTTGTCTCTTTTATCTTCATTTTTATTTTCTCAAATTATCAGTTGCGATTTTGCTCTATCCAATAGCCGTATTCCATAACAGAACTGAGGTGCCCTTAGCAATTCACACAGTAAAACATACACACAGCACCCAAACCACACTCAATATAAACAACATACCCGATTTAAGAGAGCAAAACACTAGCCGAATTAAGGACCACAGACTAACCGACCGTCACCAAGCTTAAGTTATGCAAACATAAAGATAACCAGCTATGGAACGTTCCACCAATACTATACTACTCAAACTGGTGCATAAGATTAAAACAAACTAAAACAAGACCAACCTCACTAATTAGCTAAAGAAACCACCAAAATTGAGAAGGATAGCACCTGTTCAAACTTCATTGGTTTTCATCCTGAGCTACTGTCCTTTCTTCATAACCATCATTGGCCTTCTTTATTCCCTCACCTGCAGTCCTAGCAAATCTCAAAGCCAAAACAACCGACCATGGAATTTTCATCACAACCCAATAACCGTGTTGCATTCAACTTCACAAGGTTAACCGCTAAACTCGGACTTCCACCAATAAAATTTTCAACATCATCTCCCGTCCACCTAAACTACACAAAAAATGTAAATTCAAACACCACTAAGAAGGAACGATCACCACATAATCAATCCGAACTTCAAACACCACTAAAAGTTTACACCCACTGACAATTTACCATTTCGCCCAAGTCCACAAATATTCCAGCCAATAAACTATCTACTTTGGATCTTTCCTACCTCCCACTCGACCAAGGTGTAAAAGAATTTAACCAACATTGATTAAATAACCTCTTTAGAACTTAAACCCAAAGCTAAAATATCAACATCCGAAACCTACAAACAACCAGCGACTAAACTCCTAAACCTTGATTAAAGCGAAACTTACACAACTCCCCTTAATTATGAGTTCTCAACAGCAACCGCAGTGCCCCTATTTTTAGTAACCACACCGATTCCCCTTATAACCACAATAGAAACCTCATTTAGCCAAAGATAGACCCACACCAACTCACACCTACAGAACAATCAACATACCTCCAACGACACCAATTTCTTCAGCGCTTCACTTTCATTTCCAATTATCTGATGAGCTATTATGACCTGCACTTCCAATCTCCGCATCTTCCTTGTCATTTACAACCACCTTAGACTTATTTTACACTGAATCATTCGTTTTAATCAGTGAATTGTCCACCATTCTTACCATTAGCGTCCAGACACCAAATCTCAAATTTCCGATTACAATATCCACTACTTCATCAATTCGGGAATCGACAGAAGTGGTCACCATTCATATTCTCGCCAATAAGCCTCAAATCTTCCCCTCTAACTAGCCAATCTCCTCAGCGTAATTTCGTTCCAGCATTGTAAAGGAATTCCTGATAATTCGATCTACACTACTCTTTCCTTCTTACTAGATACTTCTGTCGACAAAGTTATATCCTCAAAAATCTCCTTAAGATACGACCATTGAAGGTTTTCAAGCAAGATGAATAAGTCTTAATCTTCTGTGGTAAGCAGGAATGATTTCCCGCATAATCTCTGAACCTTAATCTCTCCCAAGCCCCATTTGTTTAATCTATCAACAATACTTCCAGCGCTGCACACAGAAGCCATGGTACCCACCAAACATCTTCTCAATTTTCTCACTTCCTCTTCGTGAACATGACCCACCACTTCCTTCCTTCCCGAAGCCCCCCGACTCTTAATCTCCCCTTGGGCTTTCTCCACCAGCATAGAAGCATCCTTTTTTTGGATTCCATACCATCTTTCTTCTCACAGATTTTTCCTTCGAATCTCTTATACTATACTTAGCTAACTTCACTGAAATCCGCTTGCCAAATATTTTGAGCCCATTCAATCTTTCAATAATCCTCGCTGCCTCCATCTCGTTCCCAACTCTTACAAATGAAAACCTTGTACCTGCACGACTCCGTTTCCTAGCAATGAAAACACTATGTTCCTCTCCTTGTCTTCCTACAACATGCCATAATCCCTTCCAATGGATTGCCTCAGGTAGATTGTCCACGAACAGAGTGACGGTACCCATTCGATTTTTTTCAGATACTCGACTATTAAAATTTATAAAATGATCATTTTTATTAAAAAAATTAATGTTAGTCTAAGCTAGACATTAAAATGTTGACTGAGATATGTTAAAATATAATCTCAAACAACTATCATATTTTAGTCAACATGTTAATGTCTAACTCATAAGACCATTAAATTTTCAACTAAAAAAGATAAATTTGTTAATGTCCAACTCATAAGACCATTAAATTTTCACCTAAAAAAGATAAATTTGGAACATATGAATAGTCGAATGATTATTTTATAATTTTTAATAGCCAAGAACTCAACAAAATAGCGCCTGAAGGACAAGTTTATAACTTTTAATAATCAGATAACTCAAGAAAGTAGTTCCTATAATTAAAGGACTATTTATGTACTTTGTTCTTTTGTTTTTATATAATTTTTAAATAAATAAAAGAGCTAATATTAATCATCTAATTACTGAATACATGTTTAATAATATTTAAGGTAAATTATATTAATGGTCTTTAAACTATTAAGGCACTTTCATTTTGGTCATTGAACTTTTAGAACTTGCATTACAATCATTAAAATTTCAATTTACTTTCATTATGATCATTGTCGTTAGTGTTGTTAACAAATATTGACATAACATGTGAAATTTTTCTTATGAAAAAACCTAAGATTGAAAGGTTTTTTTGAGGAGGTTGAACCAAAGAAAAGAGAAAGAAGAGTAAAAAAAAGACAAAGAAAGGAGAAACAACTTAACAACGACGAAAAAAAAGGAAGGGGCGATCATGTTCGAATTGCTCCATTCATCGAAAACTCAATTTTTAGGATAGTGAATTAAAAAATAAGATTTTTGAGGAAGAGGACTCCAGGTTAGCAGGTTATAATAGAAGCTAACTACAACGATGGTAATAAAAGTGAATTAAAAGTTTAGTGATTATAATACAAGTTTTAAAAGTTTTATGATTAAAATAAACCTTGCTAAAACTCAGTGACTGCCAATATAATATATATATATATATATATATATATATATTGAACAATCCTAACAATATTATCTATAAGCTCATTATATTTTCGCTAGCTATCAATTATGAATAAAATTGAAAGAGTATTAGAATATACTTTAAAGTATATTTATAGTTTCATATTTTTAATTAAATTTTAAATATTTTATAATCATTCCAATAATATTATCATAAATATAAATAACACAATAATAGAGCCTTCTCTATTATAAATTCTAATGAGACACTAATTGAACTTTCAATTTATTGTATGACTTTTTAGTTTAACAGATGGCTTTATACAGCTTTAGATGTATCCGTACATGTTGTATGAGAAAGTGATTCATGATCTCTTTACTAATTCTTCTTCTTTTAATTCAGCGTCTGCCATTGCAACCAAGGGTAAGAAACCGATCTCGATAATTTTTTCGTCCTGTTCGGAGGAAAGTGCTACATCGGAAACCTTGTCGTCGAGACCAGCGCTTTGGAAGACTTCGTTCATCTGTTCTCTCAACTTTTGCATGTCCTCGATATCGACTTCGAATGAAGTAGGAGCTGCCCCTCGAGACTCATGGCAGCATCTTCCAAAGCTTTTATACTCTTGAACGAATGTAGCTAGCCGCGACATAATCTCGGCGGATGATGCTATTTTCTTCACGACATCGGTCTTTATCATTCCTACATTTACCATCGACATCATGGGGAGGAAGAAACTAAATTCGATAGCCTCTTCTTCTTCTTCCGGGGAAAGTGCCACATCGAGAGCTTTCGCCTTCAGATTGGCATTTCCGAAGGCTTCCATGACGTGTTGGCACATCTTCTTTATCGCATCGACATCTGCATCTGCTAATGTAGAGACTATACACTTCGAATTCAACGCAACACCTCCGACAGTGCTTTTATACACTTGAATGGCCCTAGCGAGCATCAACTTAATCTCAATGGAGGATGCTATTTTCTTCACGACATCGGGTTTTACAAATCCCGCCTCAAGAAAACTAAATTCAATAGATTTTTCTTCTTCATCTTCAGGGGAAAGTTGTACATTGTGAATCTTACTTTTCCCAAAGGCTTTTTGGATATCTCTACCTATTCTTTTAAAATCATCAGAATTTAGGGTAATCAAGGCAGAATATCTCTCCTTCACCTCCTCAATGATGTCTGTGTTAAAACCTAATCCATTATCGTGCCCTATCACAGACTGGATTGAAAGCACTAGAGCTAATTGAAATACAACTAAACCCATATGTGCCATCCTTTTATTCTTTAAAAGGTTAAGCTAAAAAGCAATAAATTTTGGCAGATGCAGCATATGAATGGAAATGAATCTAAATTTAAAGAGACTAAAATGAGATATTTACTGCTAATTCAAGGGTTTGTTAATTGGATGACCATACATTTGTTTTCTTAAAATATTTAATAAAATATTATAAGGAAACGTAATTCAAGGGTTTGTTGATTGGTGACCATGCACTTGTATTCTTAAAATATATAAGAAATATTATAATGAAACATAATTCAAGGGTTTGTTGATGGGTTTCGTAACTATCAAGTTCCAATTGATGATGTGATTTAAACGATCTTTATAATTTGAACATATCGTATATGTAATTGTATTTAAATTAATATATTATTACGTAAAATATCATATAAATTTATACTATTTCTTATAAAAATGATTAATTATATAAAATGTATGATGATGACACAACATAAATTTTTAATTAAATTTTATAAAAAAATATAATAAGAAAAGAATACAAACACGATATTTGTATATATTATTATATCAAAATTTATTATTAATAAAAATTATACACTCATGACATTACAGTATACATATCAAGTATGTTTCAAACCTATTACTTATTAAATCAAAACGTATACCTTATAATAGCATGCATGCTATTTCACTGAAAGCCATGCAATTCGCATGGTTTCTATGCATAAATCATCTATCCGTTAGTTGATATCATCGGCTGATATAGGATGACATATTTTTATTAATTCACTAGTTAATATATTTGTGATTCGAATCGATTTTATATTGATTCTTAGTGATGGTGTTGGGCGTAAAACTATGATGACTTTTTGTTGGTTGATATACAAAATGGATAGGGTTGGTTAACAATAGATTTAACTCATATAGGTAGAGAGTTATAGATGCTTAAGGCTATTTCTACGAAAACAGTCTTCTGGGTTATTCGCAGGAGGCTTTGATGTTCAGGTATAAATATTTTAAGGGCATTTGCAGAGGTACAACTGTAATCAATTTATTAATCAAATTAGTTTGAACGTTGTTGTACAAAAATTAATTATGAAGATGATTTTTGAACTCAAGTTCCTCTACTCAAAATAATTAATTTAAACATTTAATCTTTGTTTGAAAAAAATTCGATATCTTATCGTACTAAATCAACTGATAATAGATATTAAATTTGTATCAATAAAACTCAGCCATGGTCAGGAGGATAAGTAGCTCCGGAAATGGAGAAGAAAATGATAGCAAGAGTGTGGGAAGATATTAGTCTTTATTAGCAGCGTGTGCCTTATAGTTGAATCTCCATTATAATTCAAAACCAAACCCCACTCACCATAGCTACTCTTTGTTAGACCATGAAGAAAAGAGCTGGAAATAATAATAGCTTTGCTGTGCTGGCATTGCATCTGTTAGAGAAATCTGATGTGCTGGCATGATATCAAATTTATTAGGGTTTGTTGCATGGTTATTCACACTTTATGCGTGTAATATCTTCTATATAAGGGAGTCATCTCTGAATATTTATCATATATTCTAGTCATGGCAATGTCGACTAAACTCAATGACAGCACTGAGTGTGAAAACGAGTTCTATTACTCCCAGAGACAACAACGGCTTCGAGCGGCTGTTTTGAGAGCCAACCATGGGTTAGTTTCAGTAGCTTTGTCGTTAATCGGCGTTGGCTCAGTTGAAAAAGATATCAAATCCATGATCCTAGCCGGTTTCGCCGGTTTGGTGGCCCGTGCATGCAGCATGGCCTTCTTTATTGGATATTGCACAACTATGTTTCAATTCACAAAAGAGTTCATCCACTAATAAAAACCCTTTTGAACTGGTCCTCATATGGTGGATGAGACTTCTCAAGGAAGATGCTCTTGTGCCTCAAACTTTATAGGGGAGTGGAAGCAAAATACTGAGATTGCCAAAGCTTACTTGGAGAAAGCAGCGAAGCATATGAAGAAATGTACAGATCGTGATAGAAGGGATTTGCATTTTCGGGTTGGAGATTTGGTGCTAGTCAAGTTGATGCAATAACAACATATATTCTTACGCCAGAAGGATCGCCGCTTGGTGCGCAAATATGAAGGTCAGATCTCGATAGTAGCGAAAGTGGGGAATATTTCGTACAAAGTTGACCCTCCTGTTTGGATGAGAGTTCACCAAGTCTTCCATGTGAGCAACTTGAAGCCCATGTCGATCCCAATGATGACAATCAAAGTCAGTCTGCCAAGGAGTCGATTTGTACGCAACCACCTTCACAGCGTCATGTTGATGAGATTCTTACAGGTATAGTGGTTAAGATGGACGAAAAGAAAAGACGGGAGTATCTAATCAAGTGAGGAGGTCTTGTTCATGAAGAGAACAGTTTGGAGAGAGAGTATGACCTCAGGGCGTTCAAACAAAAGATCGAAGAGTTTCAGGCAGTGCAGTCGACGAGGGCGTCGACAAGTTATGTGGGGGAAATGTCGTGGTTGTCCCTTTTATGGGGCCACAACCGGGTAGGTACGCCGAGACCAACCATGTATAGGGCCTATTGGTAGGGTAGAATTAGCTTGTTCTCTTTTCAAGCATTTCAATGTTTTAGGTAGAGAATGGGAGTATGACATACAATCCTCAGTTTGAGCATTTTAATGTCTACAGGTAACATTTCTTTTATTTTGTTTTCTCATATATGTAGGGGATGGACAACCGACAAAGTTTGGGCTGATCCACAGGTAAAGATATGTGTCTTGTGAACAC